AAAAAACAAAACAAAGAAACAATCATGAGTGTTTTGGCTCTAAATCACGGTTGGCACAAAGAGCAGAGTGGAAAATTATCCTGGTTGCCATGAATCCAGATGCAGTGTTTTTGTTTTCCCAAAGTTCCCCTCACTTTTGGTCTGGCACATGTGTTGACAGGTGTTGAACTGTGATGGGGAGCAGACTGTTGCTCTACAAGGAGGGAAAACTCACCAACAAACCGCAAGTCAACCTGCCGAGTTCAAGGATCGAGAGAGAAGGTTAAAAACGTCCAAGTGGTTTTGCTTCTGTGCTGCTTGTAAGGATATAACAATACCTTGTCTTCGAAGGGGAACGGGTAGATGACGGATAATTTGTAGTGGGCATCGCTCGAAGTCCAGATCTTCCTCCAACAGCTACGTATTGAGTCAAACATTTAGCACTAAGACGTTGGTTCTCCCCTCATTTCCTGTCAGATGCTGGTCGTCTTCTGTCATTGTGGTTGCTTTGGGGTAAATACCACACAGGTGATGCTGCACTTCTGCTGCATTTAGTGTCAAATCAGGTCACAATTTCTTCTTCTGCTCCTATATGTTATGAATAATGTGAAGAAAAGTGATTTTTGCAAGTTGACCTTTTGGATGTCATTGCCTTCTCATTTTATCCAAAAAGACTTTGGAGTGATTTAGCAAATGAATCCTTAAACTTTCATCAGTGCATTCTTAAGTCCAAGTGCCAAAGTTGAAGAAATTTACTTAAAAATCATGAGAAAAGGACGTATTTCCTCACAGACGACTTGAAAACACGCCTCTGGCCACGGCTGAGCTGTTTCAGATGCACAAAAATGGAAGCTTTGGCATCATCCTAGTCACTGTTGTGTGTCTTGTGGGAGTTTTATCGCCAAAGGAAGCTGTGTACAATACATTGATGTTGCCAAATGTGGATATTCAAAATCTCGTTATGAAAGGTTGCCAAATAAACACCTTTCAAGCCTTTGTTTGAGCGATCTTATCAGTTTCATTGTGAATAACCATTATGCAGCACGATGACGAAAGATCACGAAAATATCCAAACAGTGAAATCACAATGAGACTGAACAAGTTAAAGGAGTGTAATACCAAATGGTAAAGGAGAACAGCAGCTACAAATACTGAATATGTCTTTATATAACCAAACGACTGCTTTTTGTTGATCACAGTTTTTCTGTTTATTCATAAAAAGCTGCTGACTGTGCAAATATACATTCACATGACTGGATTACATGCAAAACACTTGATATTTCAAATGCATCCACAGGTTTAGTCTGAAAGTAAGCCACAAAAAGGTCAAAAAGTTCAGCAACACAGTCCTCATCGGGGGGAGCGTTTACCTGTCTGCTCGCTATTTTCTATCTTTTTTTTTAAATAAACGACTTATACGGATTCTTGTGATTCCCACAGCTGTCAGCGTTCCTCGGAAGAAATACGATTGGACCCAAGGTGGTTTCCCTGCGCAGCTCTGCAAGAAAACGCACCCGAGTTAATCTCGTGTTGATCTCTTGATTTACAGTCTGCCTGTTTTATGTATTTAGCTCTAAATGCAGCGCAGGATTCACCGTTGGGCTCTCTTCTGCTCCTTTGCACCACCTTGTGGCTGGATTCAGTACTGCTGATGGCGTCATCGCAGCTCTCACACGCCTGGTCGTTACCATCCACTGATCTCCACCTGAAAAAACAGAAGAATAAGTTACAGCAAGATATATATATAAAATGGCAATGATGTAGATTAACTTGCAAACACTGACCTGTCACTTATAAAAGAACAGGCCCTTTTCACCGGGTTATTCTTTGGCTCGGCTTCCAGGTCACACGTGATGTACATCTACAGGAGACAGTAGGACACATGCTGAGGCTTTCTGTCTTCTTACAGATATTTAAAAGGAGGAATATAAAATGTAGATGCAGTGCTAACAGTGTGTCTGGGGTCCTGGTGGAAGAGGAAAGGCTCGAGCTGAATCTGGAGAAGATTGTTGTGAACTCGGGGCAGGAAACGAGAATTGGAGCCACTCAGCTGGGAATCCGTGAAACATCTGCACGGAGCAGACAGATCTTTATCAGATTTAACGTCTGCCCTCGGCTTTTATAAGAAAAAAACAAAACAAAACGGGACACAGGAACCTGGAAGATTTATAGCAGCAGTGTGTTCAAAAGAAGTAGTTTTAATTAACTAACTGGAGGAACTACTGCAGATTAAAGATACTCACCCCTGGTGGTCTATGAAGGGATATCTGGGGTAAGAATTCACGTCAGAGGTCAGAGTGGCCACGCAGCTGCTCACAAACAGGCGGAGAGGAAGATGACGGTGGTCTACGGAGGCCTCGATGTTGACCGTGTCACCTAGAAAATAGACGGACGATGGTCTCTCACTGTTCCAGTCATCTGATGAGAGAGGAGACGGAGATTTAAATAGGATTCGTTTACACTTTGGATGAAACAAATCTGTCTTTTAATATATTGATGCATCTTCAGTCATTTAGATTAGATTATATCCACATGACGTTTGTAGAAAAATCTCTGACTTCATATGTAAATGTTCCAAAAGAAAAAGAAAGGAAGGCTCTCCCACATAATATACAATTTTTATGTGATTTTATTAACTTCAAATGACATTTTCTTTCAGCTACATTGGCACATTTGTTGTATGTTAAACCACTCTCTTGCTCTCCACTCCATTTAGTTTCCAGAGCTGAGAACACAAGCTACATATCAAGTGCTCGTCCATTATCGACTTTAAAACAAAAACCCAAAATCAGATGCCCTCATTCAAACAGTCATTTCAAGCAATAAAACTGGCTTAAAAAGGATAAATTAGAAGAAATAATACATGTAAATAAAAATAGATATTCCCAAAAGACACCTAAATGGTGAGAATAATAACATTTCCACCAAAATACCCCCTCAGTTTGTTAAAAGAGGAAGCTAAGGCGTTGTATTGAATTTTAGAATCATTACAGGAGGTTGTTTAATGTGTCAGGGTGAAACCAACTCACCTGTCATGAGCCTGAGGTGGAAATCGAGGTCGAGATGAGCCGACTGGACGAAGGTGAAGGGGCTCCAGGTTGGCCTTAGTGCACTGCTGCTCACTGTGTATCTCCTACAAGTAAAAACCACAACTAACATTACTGAGAAACTGCTTCCATCAAAGCAACGTGCAGCCAAAATAATAAAACAAGCTTAAAGCATTGTAAGTCCTTTAATAGCATTGTTATATTATATGTTTCATTATGTTGAGTTCCCATGCTCATCGTGTAATACTTGAATTTTGTGATTTTTTTCTGATGTAAAACCCTGGAAACCTATAAATTAGAACTGATCTACCACCTGCTGCTGTATTAGTTTGGGTTCAGTCGTGCTTTTCAGCCCGGACGACAAAGCTCTCCGGCCAGGCTTGCAACTAAAACTAAACCGCATATTCCGCTGGCTCAAGTTTCTCCATTTGCCTCTTGTCACTTTCAGGATTTATCTTTTAAATTTCCTCACGTACAAGTCTTTATGTGATCTGGCCTTCTGAAACGCCCCAAGACATTTAAAGCATATGTGATCATGTTTATGTTGCTGGGACTGAGAAACTGAAGCATCTTTAAAAAAAAAACATCTGCACTGTAGGTTGTAAATGAATTTCTCCATCTATTTACGTTGTCTTGTTGGTTGTCTGTCACTGCTATCCTATTCTCTGTCACCCTCGACCCAACTGGTCGAGGCAGACAGCCGTCCTGCCTGAGCCTGGTTCTGCTGGAGGTCTTTCTACCTCTTAAGATCTGAGCTCTTGTTTGATATGCATTTTTTTTTTGTTTTACTTCTTTGCTATTTGAGATCAAATAGCAAAAGGAATTAAAAAAAATAATAATAATAATACAGAGAAAATAAAAATAGAAAAAATATATAAAAGACATATAACAATAAAACATATATTTAAAAAATACAAAGTAAACAATGACAATAATAAAATAATAATAGTAAAACAATAAAAATTAAAAAATTAACTACTGTGGTAATATAACCCAAAATGTGATACGATAAGAGATTAATGTGAAACAAGAGTTGTTCCTCTATGCTAGTACTATTATGATTGTTTACAGGGCATCTTTGGATTCAGTGGGCCTTTCCTTCTCCATTCAGCAAATGATTTGGGGTAGTATATAATAGGGTTTTAACCGTTTTAAATTAGTTAGGTAAACTAATATAACAAATAGTATTGTAAGGTCCTAACCTTAATATTTAAACTTTATAGTTAAAGTTTGTAACATTGATCTTATTTCTCTATTCGAAACCACTTTGGTCAATGACAGTTGTTTATAATGGGCTGTATAAGTAATGCTGACTTGACCTTTAACTCTATTTCCTGGCTGTTAGACACTTAGAAGCACCATCAATACATATAAAGCTCACTGCAAGACTTCTATGTATTATGTAAATGCACCTTTTGTATTCGCACTGCACCGAAATGGCAGCGCCCTCCACTTGGACGCCAGGTGACGATGGAGGAGGATAGTAGAGGAGCAGGTTGCTGTAAAGCACAGCGCTCTCTGTAAACTAAAGCACAAATGACAGCATTATCAATTAAAAAACACTAGGTGGCGGCAGGGTTAAACAACTTTGATCTGGCTTCGCTTCACAGCTGGAAAGCGACTACATCATTCTACTAAAGAGGCTCACCAACCATCACTTTGTTCCCACACTCGGCCAGTGGAGCTCTGATGATGTACTCTCCATTTCCAGACACCCTGGCGATGCAGCGATCCTGCACATCCCTGGCAGGTCCGAGCCTCAGCCGCATGGGCTCTGCTGGAAGGCCGGGGTCAAACAGCTGAGCTCTCATCACGACCTCAATGCTGTCCTCGTGGCATTTCAACACAAACGGTTCATCATCTCCAGCTGTAGCTATCTCTCCAACGGGATCCTCAAAGTGGGGATTGTCGGTGGTGTCGAGTGAGGTTGCTTCAAGAGCGGCCAAGTCAGGGAAGGACAGGAAAAGAGGCTTGGTTTGATAGCTGTAGCATTTTACCAGTGTAGACAGAACAGAAAGAAAAAACATGAAATAAACAGAAAGAAGAGACATCGTTTGGTGCTTTGACAACAAAAAAAGGTGTCAGCACGAGCCAAGAGGATCACGCCTGACACTAATCAACCTTGATTGGAGGGTAGCAGCGTCACCACAAGACTCAGACTTGACCTTACAACATTTGCTTTTGTATTTGGGGGAGAGTGGGGTAAGATGAGCCTGTGGGTTAGCTGAGCCTCCCTTTGTTTTCTGAAGAGGGATCCATTAAACTCTCCCAGTGAAGAGAAGGAGCACATGGAGTCAGAGGTGAGCACATTTTAATTCACTAAACTGTATGTTTTTCATGGTTTTATGAGTGTTGAGTCTGAACAATTATTGAGAAATTTTAAACTATTTCCCACGTGTCAGTGCATTAGTGAGCTTTAATATGAGACTAAACTGTTGGCATGAAGTTACCTCTAAACTGCCTGTTTGTTAAAATGGTGGCAGTGTGGCTAAGTTGAGCCAGAAGGTTGGATGGAGGAGCGAAGGAGAAGGATGAGGGACTCATCCATAGAAAGCAGGTGATCAAGAAACTACCAGCACAGAAGGGAGCAGAAGTTTATATTCTCCTGCAGTGTGGATCAGTGGCATGTTTAATAGATTCCCGGTTGTGTGATGAGGATTACAGTGGATTTAATTTTGATCTTGCGAATACACCTGACAAGTGGGATGTTCTGTAATAAATCCAGTTCTGTGAGAATTTAAGTTAATTTTATTCTTTTACGAGCTTGATTATGTTATGAAAATGTGACATACACTGGCCTTGTGAAGAAAATAGGCCTTTGCAGTTGTCAAACTTCATTGATGGTGAACAGGAGTTTGTTCTAAAAATGTGGAATCCTTCGGCCAAGTTGACTTTTAAAGTTGCAGCCTTTATATATGTTGAAAAGTAGCCCAGTTTTGTAAAAATGTGGTCACTTTTAACATGATTTTGTTCTAGAATGTGTCATCTGAGGGCCTTATTGAAGGAAACTGGCCTTTAAAGTTGTACATTTTATCTTTAAATACAACTTTTAAGAGGTCATTTGGTATTGTATTTGTTTTGCTGTGATAGAGCGTTTTATGAGGTATGAAATTCTCAGTTTTGCTTCAACACAATCAATGATACAATTACCACAAAATATTTCCTCCAAAGGCTCAATCTACCCCTTGCCTTGAGCCAAGAAAACACTTCTTTTTTTTTTGGTTTATTTTAGATCCAGATCAATTTTTCCTACATCCTAAAGTATACGTACATGTTTTATTTTTAGACATTACTGTTATGCCCCCACTGTAAAGACACTTCAAGTAAAAACTGGCTCATCTTACCCTCACTCTCCCCTATATATTGGAATTTTCTGTTAAAAAAATTAAATATAGAAAATAACTGAACATCCAACAGTGTTGTAAAAAAAAGTATTTTATTCAATGTGAAAAAGCTGTACATACATATTGCATTTCAGGGCTGTAGTTTAGGTAAAAAATACAGATACGTCCCGTATATTGTTGGCATAAGGAGAGATGTAACAGAGGTTACACAAAATATAACACTGGAAAGGTCTTGTATTAAAATTAAAGGCGTTAAACTTTACTTGGAGTGTTGGAACAATTTATAGAAGGTTGACATATAAAAATAATAGTGTTAATTTGTAAAAGGCATCACAGCTGCAGTAACTTTTAGTAAATATACGTACCAGGAACACGGCTAAAAACACGTCTCGGTGCATAATATCAGCTTCTGTCCATTCATTTTCAGCTTGATGACCTAAATCAAATCTGAGGTGTAGTGTTGTTTTCTGCATTTTAATTTTTCGAATTTTTTTTTCTCTCAAAGTTCTCCAGCATCATGTGCAGTTTGTTCCTTTGTTTTCGCTTCCTCCTCTTCTTTTCCTGTTGCCTCCTCAGCCCCTCCTTTCCTCCCCATGTCTGCTTTCCACACCTCTTTGAGACATTCTGAGGAAAGAAGAGAAAAACACATGAGGAGGAGGTTGAAGCTACATAGTTTACTCTTTGCTCAGTTCACTTTTATTGTTCAGACTTTAGAGAGTTCATGGACTAAAATGTGCAACATTTTTACATGGAAAAGATTAAAGTGCTCATGTGGTTCTCTTGACCTTCTAAAAGCAAACCTCTGTTTAACAGACGTTTAAATGTATTTCTCTTTGCTATTTGTTGTTAGTTTCTCTTAAGTCTGGGAAAGTACCCTTTGTCATCTGACACTGTAATCTGAATTTATTTCTAAGAAAAAAAAATGTAGAAATGAAACTAGACTTCCAACAAATCAATAATTCAGCCCTGATTAATCGTACCATAATTGAGAGTGAAATTAAGCAACAAAACAAGTGATGAGTTAGTCTTTAAAATGATAGTAATGAAACCTCTTCAAATTGCTTTTCTTTAAAAAAAAATCCAAACATAAACCAAAAATCTAAACATTTTAAACTTACATTGATTTAAAACAGAAAAAACATCAAAATCCTCACATTGGAAGAGCTGTGAACAGAAAATATTGGGCATTTTTGCTTGACAAATGACTTTGTTCATAAAATTATATTTCAATCAAAACCCCAGTAGACTTTATAATTTAAGTCCTTGTCATTTTAAGCTGAGGTGGCTCAAAAGTAGGGCTGTAACTAATAAGTATTTTAATTGTCAATTAATCTGTTGGTTATTGTCTTGATTAATTCATACGTTGTTTGGTCTATAAAATGTCAGGAAATGGTGAAAAATGTTGACCAGCATTTCTGAAAGCTCCAAAAGATGTTTTCAAATATCTTGTTTGTCCACAATCCGAAGATATTCAGTTTACTGTCATGGAGGAGTAAAGAAATCAGAAAACAATAAAACCTAAGAAGCTGGAATCAGAGAAAGGAGATTAGAAACTTAGACTTAGAGACTTTATTTACTCAAACTGATTTACTAATTATTAAAGTAGTTGACAATAAATGTATCAAACAACTAATCAATTAGTCTACTTGAAAGCATTATAAATAACATTAAAGTATCGTTCATGCAGAACTCTCCCTGTGTCAGGCGTCTCCTACCTTGCTCTGAAGTCTGGAGGACGTGGTTCTCACAGAGGAAGTTCTCCAGCCTCTGGTCCTGATGGTGGAAGTACCAGTCCTCCACCACCTCCTCAAACTCCTCCAGCATCGTCTCACACTGAAAACACACAGACACATACACATTGGTTGAGGTGGCCAAAGCAGGTGTGTAATGTTGTTCAATACTGTTACCAAAGTGTAGCTCTGGGTTGCATTGCTGCTGTTGCACAATGTTCAACTGACTTTAGGAAAGAATGGAAACTACAGATATCAAAACACTGCACCTAAATTTCAAAATGTTGAAGAGAGATCATTAAAAAAAAAAAATCTGGCCTGCAGTAATTATATTTGGCTCACGAGATAATATCAGATGTCTACTGCTAATCAATTATTGAGTGAGTTTTTTAAAAAGAAGAAAACACTGAATTTGCCAAGTCCAGCTTCTTAAAATAAAATATTTTCTGGTTTCTTTACTCTTTTATGACTGAATATCTACGGGTTGTGGACAAAACAACACATTTAAGGATGTCATTTAGATGTTTGGGAAACACTGACCAACATTGTTCCCCATTTTCTGCCGTTTTATACACTAAATAACGAATCGATTTAAGCGAGAAAATAGTCATAAGATCCAATCCTACTGGACTGCATGTCCGTTGCATATGTTTTAAACCGACCACCTAAACACTCAAAAGCTTAACTGTATTTCTGCATTGTAAGCAGGCCCAAATGCCTCTTCCTACCTGTTTTTTCATGTCCGACACCTCAACTGAGGGTTCATCCCAAAGCTCAAAAGGCATACCCAGGTCCACTTTAACTCCTTTGTGGACCAGATTCTTCAGAGTCGTCATGGTTTGACTGGCACCCTGAAAAAAGAGCAGGTGTCAGTTCACGACACAAACTGAAAAGAATGACTAGGACACCCAATAAGAGCTTTTACAGAGAAACTACCTTGGCGTATCGGAGGCTGCCGGGCCTCTCTGCGTGAACGCTGTACTGCAGGATGCGCTCACATATGTTGTCTACTGCCTCAGTCAGTCGAGTTTCCCTGAATTCAAATACACAGCTTTGAATTGAGACTACACAAACATAGAAGACACTTGAATCAATGTAGAGGTTTACACACAGAGCTCAGATCATGGATTGAAGTCACATTCTTCATTCAAAGTGGACTTACGAGGTGTTGTACTTGATCTTTCTCCTTCTCTTGCCTGTGTCCAGCACCTCTCCAACCTCCAGAACTTCTTTGGAGCGACCAGTTTTCGCCAGAGCTTCCTGCAGCTCAACTGTCAGAAACTTACACACTAACAGACAACAAAAACACAAACAGTTTCAGCTATTTCTACATTTCATACACGTATAACAGACTGACATACATTTGTAAACAGACACCATCCTGCTCCTACAGTGCTAAATGTCATTACATCTAGCTAGTGTCACTTTTATCGCCCTACCTTCGCATTTATTCGGCAGCCTTTCGTCGTCATTTGCTAAAACCAAACTGCAGAGCCCCAAAAAAGCCAGAATAAAAACGCCCATTGCAATTTGTGTGCTTCAGAACCTACAGACTAACTAAAATTACGAAAAGTTTAATATCAAACCAGCCACATCGGCATAGTTTGGGGCGACTTGAAACTGCGCATGCGTACAGTATCCCACCAGGCGCGACGAGTCGATAGCTGGTGTTCCGATGTCAGGGAAGGTAGTTGATAGAAGAAAAACACAAAGTCATCACTCCTCAAAAATGAAAGTACGTCTCTTAAGATACAGATTGAGTTTTTCATTAGTTAGTGAAGCTCATCGAACTAGTTATTTTTCCTCTACAGTCATTGATTATATCCCTAAAAACTTTAAAAAGCTCTGTGTTCCAAAGTTATTTATTTATTTATTTTTCAATGAAAATGATGCCCTATTGCCTTAAAATGGTTTAAATGCAACTCTAAACTGTTGTTTCCTCTTGCCAAACTACTCTACACTTCACAATGGCAAGTTGTAATATTGGAATAATTCATCGAAATATGTTTCAACCAGAAAACTGTTTTAAAAAAAGAGAAAAAAAAAAAACAACAGTGAAACTCTCACTCTGCAAGTTGACAGGACTGGGTCCTTTGGTTTGTTATGTATGCAACCATGGAAATTTATGTTTTTGAGCATATTATTAGTGCACTGCTTTCAAAGTGGACAAGTTTTATATTTGTATATAGTTTTTATTCTGCTGCTGCTTTTACTTTTATTCTTTACCTAAGTTTTTCTTTTTATAACAAAGCTGACTTTGAGGAACACAAGAAGTCCAATCTTCGCCAGAAACTTACACACTAACAGACAACAAAAATTGTAATGCAAATGCCAATAAAAATTCTTAAAAAAAAAAAAAAAATTATTTTCTTGCTCATATGTTGTCTTGAATATTAAAAAACAAACAAAAAACACTAGATGGCTATGTTGGACAAAATACTTTAAGTCTACTGCACAGGCCTATTCTCATATGTTAACATAAAAAATAAAATAAAAATCATATGACATATGTCCCTTTAATATGTATATGTAAAATATACCAAAAACATGCTCTGTATTACCTATTACAGGTATACACAGCCTAAATTACAACAATGTAGTCCATGTAGACAACAAAACTATATATAAAAATCCCTTTTATTCATGTAAAATTTCTGAAATCTACAATCTTTTTGTTAAAATAATGGCGTTTTGCACACAAACATTCCCAAAAAGTAGTCATTGCAACCATTTTGTTGAGATGGATTTCTAATTCATCAACACCGAATTGCTGCCACAACTTAAACACAAAGGAAAGGGAGATAATTGGCTCGATATTCGGCAGTGAAGCAGTTAAAATAGAAGGTGCTTGCCTCTCGGTTTCTCAGGTGTCAGGGGCAGCACGCGCCACAGCAACGGATACTGCCAGAGTCTGTAAGGAAAAAAGATAGAGAGGAGAGGAGAGGAGGGAAGAGGAGAAGAGGCCAAAAAGATAAGGCAGAAAAAGAGAAGAGAAGGAGTCATAGGCCAAGTTAAAATGAGGACGGAAAGGAAAAGAGATGAGATGCAAAGAGAAGAAGACAGAATATGCAGAGTCACCAAACGGGAGAGCCGCAGCAGCAGTAAGTACACACACACACACACACACTCCTAGAAAACACATTTGTTTGTTTTCCAGCTGCAAGAACAGTTTGCGCACAGGTGTCAGAGGATAAACTGTTCATCTTAAATGTCTGAAACTCAAGAGTAATTGCAGTAACTGTAGATTTTACTGCTGCCAGACTTGCCGGGGCTATAATTGTGTGTTATGTCACTTGGAATGGTGACTGTCTGTCTATTGTCTGTGCAGAGTCAGATATAGTTACACAGGCTGACACTCATGCATCACGTCTACAAGCTGTTGTGTACACACACACACACACACACTCACATGCTCAGATGATACACAGCCATAACAGATGGTGTAAGGAAACTTGCACACTCACATCAAGCTGTGCTTTTCTCACTCAGGTCCAGCGATACAAACATCTTTGATGACACAGACTTAAGTACCTCATGGAGATGAACCAAACACTCCTGACAGAATCAGAGGAAACAAGAAGAAAGAGCTGCTCTGGATCCATTTAGTCAGCTTTCAACAGCTGAAAAAAACAACCAGGAATCCCTAAAGAATTTTCCTGAATGACTAACGAGCGGAGGACACGATCCTGAATCCACTAGTTTCATCTGAGGAAGACAAGACAGAGGAAGAACTTCAAGTGTGACTGAACGGTAAGTTTATCTTGGCAACACAAGTACACATCTCCTCGTCAGTTCATGCATAACCAATGATCTATCATGATCTGATATATATTTAATAAACTCCCAGGGCCCAAAAATGTTGAATGATCCTGTTACTAATAATTAAATATTTAAAGTAAATGCAGCAGCAGCACTAAAAACTGAGGACTGGAACAAGCAAAGTCATACACACAATGTAAATTGTTTTAAACTTGTTTAACTTAAACACAAGTTTTCCTGCTAAATAAAAATACGAGGTAAGTGAAGTTAGGCAAAATCATTTATTTAAATTTCACCTTATTAGTTTTTAATTGAAAAATTGGATCTAAACCACCAGATATTAACTTAAGAAGTTGAATCGACTGCGTCTTTTAGACCATTATCACAGACAGACTTGCTTTCCTTTGTCAACTGCTCTGTTGAAGGAATCTGTTATTATAAGCAACCAGCTGCCAGTAACTATTTTACATGTGAGAAAACATAGGAGGGGATTTTAAAATAAGCGTACAGTGGTAGGGACTGAATTCCTTCCTAACCCTCTGCATGGTTGGCATTGTTTTCAATTACAGAAGGAAAGTAACAACTAGGACTTTACTCATAATAAGTGTCACACAACAATTTTTACTGTGAAGTGTTTTTTAAGCTACAAAAGAAAAGTCTCAGCAGAGCAGAACAGTGCATGGCGTGACATTTGCTAGTTCTGACTCTTTGAAGAGTTGACTTGATTAAACTCTCGGCTGCAAATTAATTCATCTCATCATTTTAAGTCAAGTGACTACAGATTGGTGAACTTTTGTGGGTTAAACTACCTTGAAATTCACAAAAACGTCTGTATTTACATTACTTTAATAGGAAGCGGTGTTACAGTGAAGACTTACACCAGATGGCAACTATACTTTAGTGTCCAATGGTTTTTACATGACTTGCAATAGCTGAAAGAAAATCTGTTACCATATTATTCCAAAGTCTCTTTTAACCCTATTCAGGACTTTCATGTTGCCATACATAGAAAGAATATGTGCAAAATTTCAGTTGGTATTCATTATAGACTTTTATACTATGTTAAATCCATTTTCTGATAAGTTGATGTATTTTTGGTTCCAAACACATGACAAATGTCCTTCTTTGTATATTAAAAAAATAAAGAAATCTGAAAAAATAAAAAAATCCAATTCCTGTCACCTAAACCAAATAGCCTGGGGTCCAAAAAACCCCAAAAGTCCTGCATAGGGGTTAATGTGAGTGCTTTTGGTATGAAGCAAACAAAGCTTATATTTTTATGCATGATATTTTTTTTTTGCTTTTTAAAATATAAATATAGCCTAAAGCTATGTGTCAACTGGCTTTTGGGTTTCAGTCCTGCTCTGATTACACAGTGTGCTGTTGTTTTTGTTGTTGTTGATATATTTCCAAGTTTGCTTCAGTTCAATATTGTCCCATATATCATAAATTTGGCTTCTAATATAGTAGAAACATGCACAAATCAATCCAATCAGTTTGACCTTTGGACAAAATGACTGAGAGAAAATTGGGTGAATTTTGAATTTAGCAAATTTTTAATTTATTGCAAGAAGTCCTGGTGATTGAGAAGCCACTGGCAACATGTGCATACAGTAGATTCGATAATCACAAACCAAACAAATTACATTTCTGAACAAAATGAGTGTTTACCTCATATGATCTCCTGTTTGTGTGTCTCTCTGCATAAATCTGATGCAATGAAAAAGAACCAAACCTCACTGATAATTGATAACGCTGACCTGCGCGGTATCTGCAAGCACAAGCACCTGCAAGGTTTCATGTGGGTTTTTTCCCTCTGCAGTAGCAAGTCCCTGATTTGACCCTGCCATGGTACCAAACCCACACACACACACACTCAGCACCTGGCATACTCTCACTGACACACAATCACACCGCTTCACATATGCACACGTCAGTTGACGCTCACATGCGCTGCTGACTCGGGGAGTACAGCAGTTCATATCACTGATGACTAAAACAGTTACACCTTACGGCTATCACACCACACACACACACACACACATGCTGACCCTTCAGGATCCCCCTCCAGTCTAACCCTGCCAGGCAAAACAACACTCAGTGTTCATACGTGCGGTGGTATGTCACATATTTAGACTCCTGCAGTGTGTAAGCTGGGAGAAGTGCAGGTTGAGTGCAGATGTCACATGCACAGTACCATTAATTTTATAAGAGGGAGCTTAAAAGTTACGTTATCACAATAATTCAACTCAGTTTTATTTGTATGGCACCAGTTCACAACATATGTCATCTCATAGCACTTCAGGTAAAGACCTTACAAATTTCAAACAAAGAACAGAGACCCCAACATGAAGACCCAAAAAAAAAACCTTTAACGGGGAGGGGAAAAAAACAAAAAACTTCCAACAGAACCAGGCTCAGGGAGGCGACCATCTGCCTCGACCAGTTGGGGTGAGGGTGGGAATGAAGGGGGTGAGGGATAGCAGGATAGTAAAGGAGCCTTAACATATATAAGATGTTGGTTTATTTGAGCAGCTAAATGATTTATTTTGACCACAAATTAAGTATGAGGTAGATTAACATTAAAATAAGCTACATGTTCTAATTTTGTAGGCTCAGTTGTTTATCTCAGTGCAGCTGTATTTATCCGTTAGTGTTTAGAAGATGCATCTCTGACCTCAATTACAGCATTGACTCTGTGTGGTTGGGTCTCGATTAGCTATGGACATCAGGACACTAAAATTTTCCCCATTTTTCTTTGCAAAACTGTCAGGTTGCATGAGATTGCCCTTTTCAAGTCAAGCAACAAGTTCTCCATTGTATTGAGGCCTCTGCTGTTCCAAAGCAGGGTTAGGGTAAGCTGTATGCTTCAGATCATGGTCTTGCTTGAAAACAAATTTTCCCCCAAGCCACAATTCTCTTGCAGACTGCATCAGGTTGTCCTTCAGGATTTCCCTGTACTTCGCTCTATTTATTTTACTGTCTACCTTTACAAGCCGTCCCAGGCCTGCTGCCAAGAAGCATCCCCACGTCATGATGCTGCCACCACCATGCTTCACAGTGTGTTTGCGATGATGTGCGATGTTTTGTTTCTGCCAAACACAGCGCTCAAATTTGGTGTCATCAGATCTTCCTTCGGTTGAACTCAGACTCTCTTTAGTCAAGATGTTAATGAGTGTTTATGGCTCTTTCTTTGGCACTCTCCGACTGGTGAAGCACTCAGGCATTAGTTGTTTAATACACTGTTTCTCCGATCTCAGCTGCTGAACCTCGTGACCCCTTTAGAGGAGTGATACGTGTCATGGTGACCTCCATCACCAGACCATCCCCTCTAGGCAGATTTACACATGTATCATATTCCTTCAGTTTCTTGATGATGGATTTACCTGTACTCAGAAGGATATTTAGTGATTTGGAACTTTTTTTCTCTATCCGCCCCTTGACTCATGCTTTTTAGTAACCTTTTTACAGAGTTGTTTGGAGTTTTCTTTTATTTTTATGATGTAGTTATAGCCAGAAGGACTGATTCATCAGTGACCGGACCTTACAGATACAGGTATCATCAATCACTTGCGATGCATTCAGATGATCTCTGTTTTACTGATTGTGAGAGTTGTTGAACCAACCGGCTGCAGCCATGTTGAATTAGATGAGCGATTTTCAAGGGGGTGAATACCTGAACAATCCTATTTTAAATGTAATATTTTTAATTCATTTAAATTAGTTTGTAAAAATCTGTTTCACTTTGATATGAACAAGTCTTTAAAAAAACTAAAACAACTCTTGTCAACAAGCCAAATCAGACTGACCATAATTCAGTGTTTAAAAGCAATAAAAATCAGAAAACTTTGCCAATAAATTTTGTGCAACAGTTTGTTTGTGTTCATGTTAATAATTAACAGGCGAGTGCTTTCTTTAACAGTTATGTTACCGCAGGACGCTTGTAATTCTCTGTCAAAAGCAATAACAATAAAAAGTCGTATTACGGCTTCAAGTGAACTCTCAATCACTCAACAGTTTATTTGAAAAAACCACCGAGCAACATAATCACTGTTTTGATATGACATTAAAATCCACAGAACTCACTGTGAGTGTAATCCCACACTACCTCGACACAGCGTGGATCCAGTTTCTTAGAGCATGACTGTGGAGTTTTTACCCTCAGGCAGTTAGACTGAGGAGTTTCTAACATTTGTGGGATTTAATGTTTATTGCTGTCGCTTCTATTGTGGTTGCATTTATTGTTGTTGTTTTTATTCTTATTTAAGTATCATTATAAGAGCTTAGGGAGAGCCAAAGCACATGCATTTTATTACATTTGAATGTACAACCTTTTTAAACATGCAGGAACAAACTTGACTTTGAATCTGCATGTGTTTTTTTTTTGACCCATCCACCTATTTTTGCTTGTAAGTCATTTGTTTGTTCTGATTCAACTCTTCTTGCCTCCTTACTTTAGACCTCTCAGGCTCAACCACGATGCCAGAGCGAATAAATGACTTCCAGGGCCAGAGCTATCACAAGCTGAGACGGGCATGCCTGCGCCGAGGTGCACTCTTCAAGGATCCTCTATTCCCTGCCACCAACCAGTCCCTCTTTTACAAGAGAGAGCCCCCGCCGGGACTGACCTGGAAGAGACCGCGGGTGAGTTTAGAGTAAAAACACTCCCATGGAAGAGTGGGGCAGGGACCTATGATGGAGGAAACTCCTCTCACCTTGTGGAGGTCAAATGATTCTGTCTAAAAATGTACAGTCAAGCAGCTGTAATCAGTTAAAAATACATCTCCTCTCCTCCCACATCTAAACCGAGCGGCTGCCTTAACATGTTGCATTTCAACAGATTGGGTTAATTAAAGCGCTTTCTATTACGGGCGAGGCGTCAGGCAGTGAAACCTTAGCCCTCAGCGGGTGAGTTGCTATGGACCGCTATATCAGTGGGATTGTGTGTGTGTGTGTGTGTGTGTGTGTGTGTGTGGGAGCTTAGAAAAAGCACCAGCCAATGTAAATAGCCAATGTGCTTTTAGCTCAGTGTTGTGATGGGTGTAACTGTAAGTGCAAGCGTTTATTGTGGTTACGTCAAGCCAAGCAGCCTTTAACAGTGGTGTAATGCACAAATAAAAGCAGAGAAAACTGAGGTTAAATTCAAGATTAAATAGATTTGAAATTTTTCAGTGCAGATGGATGGGATAGTTAGGAAATTACTTGTCATTATAAAGTTAAAAAAAAGTTTTATTTTAGTGGTTGTAATGTCCTTTGTGTTTTGATCTTCAGGTCATGTGCAGAGCTTAACAAATTTATTAGACCACCTGTCTTAGGACTGTATGTGTATGGACCATCCAGCATGATGAAGTTCTTTAATTCACACTCTAAAGCTCTAAACGTTTCACCATTTTGAACATAAATGAGGAATTTCAAACTGAATTCATCTTTTTATCCCCACATTTGAGCCGACTCACTGGGCTTCTCCGAGAAGTCAGAAATGAATCAAGCATAATATTCAACTGCTAAAACTAATTTTTCTGTTCAGGAATGCAAGCAAATTACTATAATTTGACATCTTAGTCAAAAAATAATAATGTGCTTTACTTCTTAAATTGCTTTTTTTGTAAAACTGTAAATTTGAAAATTCATGGATAACAATTATTATATTTAGGCAATAAAAATATCATTTCAGTTAAAGAGCTTCGACATACTGGTGTATTAACCACTACAGAAACATACAAATGATTTTGGTAGTTACCAATGCTGTTAATTTAAGGCAGCTGTGGCCTAAACCTTACATTTGGTGGTATCTAATAAATTTGCACTGTATGCTGGGGTCTGTTCGGTAAAAGGTAGCCAACTATAATGAATGACACCTCACCTATTTCTACAAAAACAAATCAGGAAAGGATCAAAAATCCGAGGTATTTCCCGTTTGATCAGTAGTTCAAGGAGTTCATCCAGTATGTGTGCCAAGTCTTCGGTCCGTAATGCGAAACCCTGCTGTCGATTAATTTGCTGATTCAGTGCTGCACAGAAGGGGTTAATGGTATTGTGTTCCTAATACCTCACTCAGGTATTTTAAGCGTGTATCAACAGGGAGTCGGATGATAGGGTGACATCTGTCGCCTCACTCTGCTGACATTCACACAACTAACTCTAACTTCCCATTTGCCATCATATGTGTCCACTTCACAATCTAGTTGGCCTCATCTGCACTTGTTATGAACGTAATATCATCTTAGCGAAGGTCGATATCTGGTCTGGAGTTACAGCTGAGGAGGTTGTGACCACCGAGAGTGCATCTTTCTGCATGTGTGTGTCCGTCCAGCAGCGCTTCTACGATTACCCGACCCCGTCCAAACTAAGGTCCGCACAGAGAGGATCTGTCTCTTCAGCAGTGCTCGGACACTCCGAATGAAATCACCTCACAGACCTCATAAAACACTGTGATGATACTAACGGCTGCAATAATTAATGACAGTTCATTTCACATTACCGCGAGTGTATTTAAAGCTGCGACACAGTGTAATCAATATCCATGTAAAACTGTGTGTAATGTGAGACGGGGTTGCTTGTAGAGATGAACTCAACGATGGTTATCATCTGACTCTGGGTTTCCCCTCAGCTGTAACTAGTGTTTTAATGTCTTTCACTTCAATGTTTCAGTTTTAGGGCTTTATTGTTTTGATAAGCCAAGCCCGTAAAAAATGTGTAAAAGCTACATTGGTCTGTTTTGGGCTGCAAAATTGTAAGAGCTACGTTTTTTTTTAGGGGCTATTCTTGGGAAAAAACAACTGGACGTTTTGTGGTTAGCATTTGCATTGGTATTTTTACCCCAAACCAGCATATTTTCCTATGTATAACCAACTACTTTTGGTGCCTAAGAAGTATTAATAAAGCAAACAACAACAGTGACTGAAAACCCAACAAAAACAAAGTTGGCCCCCCAAAAAACAACATATATCCTGTCTAATGTAACTATCGCTTTCTTCTTCTGTCACTCCAGGAGATATGTAAGGATCCTCGTCTGTTTGTCGACGGCATCAGCACTCGGGACTTGCACCAGGGCAGTCTGGGTAACTGCTGGATGGTGGCAGCCATTTCCTGCCTTGCTTCCGAGCCGTCACTGTGGAAAAAGGTTGTGTGTCACTTTTTTCCAAATCATTCTTACTCAGTTGTTTTCTCATTCCTCTTTTTGCCCTCTTTTTTTAACCGTCCTTCCATGTTTGTTGGCCTCATCTTCCCCTCTCTTCCTCCTAGGTCATTCCTGACCATGTGGACCAGGAGTGGAACCCCAAGCGTCTGGACCTGTACGCAGGAATCTTTCATTTCCGGTTCTGGCGCCTTGGCCGCTGGATGGATGTGGTGGTGGACGACCGTCTGCCAGTCAGCGGAGATGGAGTGCTGCTCTTCTGCCGCTCAGCCACACCACGAGAGTTTTGGAGCGCATTGCTTGAGAAGGCCTACGCCAAGTGAGTGGCAGTAGAAAATCCTGGTTGACATCTGACTGGTCTCATGGCAGGTAGATTTTCTTTCCCGATAGGTCATGAAAGGTTAAACCTAACACCATTTTAGATTTTTTTTTTTGAGCCTCTGTTCCAATTATGGAAATACTGTTGAATCCATTCTCTTGCTCCAGACCATCCCTTCCTACTCCATGAGCAGTTGCTTAGTCCTTGGTAGCTTTCTATAACCCTTGCTAGCCTCAGCTAAGGGCTCAAGAACCTTGTATAGAATTCTCCTCCTTCAGGACCAAGTTTAGTCAACATCCCAGCAATAAAAAAGTCTACTCTTTCAAGGAATTATGCTCATGTTAGATCAATCTACACACTCTTTACATCTGGTATTGTTCTCGAACAAGTTAAAGGAAAGTGTGTGGAGCAATGGGTGGTCCACAAAACCTGTAATACATTTTTTTTTTTTTTTAAAAGACCCCTCTAGTGAAGGTGAGCTTGTGTGTTGAGCTGCGGCAAGTGGGTAAGGGTCGGTGAAGAGAGAGGCAGGGACTTCATAGATCTACATATTCTAGAGGAAGCTACAGTTTAGTTACATTTTAGGGCCGAATAGGATTATTGACAAATTTGAAAATGGAGAAGAGCGACACAACCATGTATACTCTCCATGAATCAACCCTTTAATCAGTCTGTCCCAATCTGGTCTGTCAGGCTAAATGGGTGCTATGAGGCCTTGGAGGGAGGAAACACTGCAGAGGCCCTGATCGACTTCACTGGTGGTGTTTCTGAGCCTTTCAGTCTGGATCGGGAGGCTCTCAGCTTAAACGGCGACCAGAGGAGAGCTTTCTTCCAGACGTTAGCTAAAGTCCACGAACGCAAATCCCTCATCACCTGCTCCATACGGGTAGGACTTTACCTCTCGAACCTCTTAGCGCCTTCAAGATTTTCGACACTGGAGAGCAAGATAAAACGATCTGAGTGTGTTTTATGTTTCCTAGCCGGCAGAGGGGGAGACAGTGGAGTCAGTTTTGGAGTGTGGGCTCGTGCGAGGACACGCCTACGGGATCACAGCAGTGAGGAAGGTGAGGCTGGGGGAGAAGCTGCTGAAGACAGGCGGGACGTCCCGACTCTTTATGGTGCGCATGAGGAACCCATGGGGGACTACGGATTGGACGGGCGCCTGGAGTCAGGGGTGAGGGCACTCTGAACCCTTTTGTACTGGCTTCTGCCACATTTGTGACCGCCGAATCCACTTTGCAGGAGCTCTGGGAATACAGACTCCGCTGACATTTAACAATCTGGTTTACAACATTTTACAATGCCACTGCAAGTTTTCTGGACAATTTCTGACATTTTACAATAGTTAGGGAATTGTTTTATGAGGAGACATCTGCCATTTACATTCTGAAAGGCTGAGAAACTCTGAAAATGGCCAAACTGGACCAATAAAGGTTTCCAGAAGTTGAAGCACTTCTTGTAATTTTCTCAAGTCGTTACCAAGTGTTAAACCGTACATCTCCACTTTTTGTCCTTGCTTGCCCCCTGCAGGTCAGAGCAGTGGCAACAACTGAGTCGTGCAGAGAGGGAGAAGATGGGGCTCATTGTTCGGGATGTCGGGGAGTTCTGGTATAACTGCTTGGATGATATTAATATAATATATGGATTTCCAGTTCAAAATCCAGTTAAGCCTGATTTCTTCACACTCAGGATGGATTTCGAGGACTTCTGTCACCACTTCACTGACGTGGTGGTGTGTCGGCTGGTGGAGAGGGCTCTGCTGTGGCCGAGCTCTCACTGGACAGAAGTGAACTGCTACGGGGAGTGGGCTCTGGCTCCCACCACCCCTGGAGCACCTCCATCCACCGTGCTCCAAAGCAACTACGCAGTGACTCTGAGAACGAACAACATCAAACCGGGAGGGACCAAGCAGCAAGGAAACCGAAAGGAGGCCCGACTCAGGGAGATTCAGCAGGAGAGAGGGAAAAGAGGAAGGTGTGATCCTGAGAAGACTCGGAAAAGTGCAACAAAGGAAGACGATGGAGGGGATGTGAATGGAGTTTGGGAGGCGCAGATGGATAAGAGGAGTCGATGTGGGGGATGCATCAACCACAGGGACACGTTTCTGCACAATCCACAGGTAAATCTGATGTGAAAACAAGTTGAAAAGTGAACATAAGCATTCTAAACATGACCTTTTCTCTTATTTAGTTCATGTTTGAGGTGCAAGGCAAAGAGGAAGAGGTGCTGATCTGTCTGCAGCAGGAGGACAGACGGATAAGGAGGAAAAACGGAGGAGGAGAAAACCTGCCTATCGGCTTTGAGGTGTTGAAGGTGAGCAGGTCACGGAACGAAATGCGCATCTTATTGGTTCTTGTAAATTGATCTCCCTGCTGCCTTGTCGTCCCCAGGTGGAGGTGAATCGCTGCAGCCGGGTGCAGTGTGTGGTGGAGCAGGCGGCCAGCTCTGTCTACATGGATTCCCGCAGTGTGACGCTGAGGGGAACCATGACGCCGGGCCGCTATGTTGTGCTGCCCACCACCTTCCTGCCGGGGGTCACCGGACGCTTCCTGCTACGCCTCTTCTCCCACTCTCACGTCAGACTCAGGTGTGTGGAGTGTGTTGTTGTGCAAGTCAGGGGTAGAAAGTATATTTCCTCAAGAACTGTACTTATGCACAATGTTTAGGCATTTGTACTTTACTTGAGTATTTCCATTTTATGTGACTTTAAACTTCCACTCCACTACATTTCAGAAGGAAATGCTGTACTTCATACCCTCATACATTTATTGGAAAACCTTTACTTTTAAGATTTTATACAATAGATATAACGCGCTTTTAAATTTGACATATTTTTTATAATCAACAAAGGGGTTTTCAGCCTTTCTAACCATCTTCTGATAGGTATAGTCGAGGTCACATTTCATGTCCGATATCAATGTGTTTCACTATTTTTGCTCTACACATGATTTCTTTTTATTAAATGCTGAAATGATCCAATATCCCACTGAAATTTTTTTTAAAAAAGAGAGAAAAAGAATTGGAAGTTTGTTTTTTCTGTCTTCCGTTGATCCATAATGATGTCCCTGTACATAAAAATGTATATAAAATAGTTAAAACTGCTGCAACTACTACAATTCTTAAATTTTAGTATTAATTTGTTCAGTATTTTTAATCTGATGCTGTTGTATATCGTAATATATGAAGTGCAGACAAGACCCTTGATTTTACGACATTATATTTTGCCACTAATACTTGTACTACTTGTAAACTTATGTACTTTTACTGAAGTCATGCAGAACTTTTACTTGTAATGGAGTATTGTTACGTTGCTGTATTGGACTCTCTACATAAAAATCTACTTTGTTGCTCATATTCAATCCTCACTAAGAGCATCAGTTTCTGTTCGATCATCTCTTTTATTTTAACAGCAACAGTATGTTTCTTGTTATTAGAGCTAACTCTTTGATATGCCAGTCCGATGCTCCTTAACTTGGTTCCCTTTTTTCACAAAGGGAATTGAGGGAGGACCTGCCATCTCCCTCTGTGCTTCACTGCTTTCTACCTCAGCCCACCATAGTGACCACAGTCCATCTCCGCAGGGCGTCAGGACTCAGCCCACCCAAACAGAAAGGTGCCTCAACACAGCTGCTGTCACTACATCTCCTGCCACATGCAAAAAATAAATACACTTGTTTTCTGCTTCCTTGGTTAACAAGAGATTGAACTTTTGCACTCTTCCCATGTCTTGTTGCATCTATTTGAGACATGCTTGTTCTTTATTCCTTTCTCTCTTTCTTTACACCGTGTTTGTTTTACTACAGCTCCAGACGTTTACGCTGTAGTGCGATGTGAGAACGACACCATCAGGACACGGGTGTTCAAGGAGGAAGGAAACCCCGAATTCAATCTCAGGACCATCTTCTACAGGAGATACCCCAACATGCACATCTCTGTCGAGGTTTGAAACATTCACATTTCTTACAGCGCAAAAACAGACAAGCACCATCTTGATCCGACTCTTGTGTATGTGCAGTTATGGAACAGAGGCCTGCTGTGGGACTCGTTGCTCGGCAGGGCTCGACTCCAGACGGCCGAGTCTGAGAGGAGTCGGAGCCTTGCAATCGATGTGCGAAGTGGACGGACTTGTTCAGGATTCAGAGGTTGTATCTACGTTGAGACGTCCTCCAGTGTCTACCTCACAGACTTGTGACAGCAGCTCTCCGGTTGCCCTGGTAACCATTGTCCTCTCAGGTGGAAGCTGATGAACAAACAGCAGTTAACTAATAAAAAAAACTTCATGGACATACAACAATACTGGGCTAAACAGTTCCTAAAAATATGTAACTAATAACTAAGGTGCTGTTGCTGCTTTGATATGTTTTGCATTTATACTGTAGATGTATTTTCAAACCTAATTTAGCAAATATTTAAAAGATGCTTCCTGTTGATCTGCTGGGCAGATATACAGTACGGCATTTATTACTTCAGCAGCAACAACAAAAGCGGAGCTGCTGCCAAAACTACTTTTTTTTGTGTTATTTAAGAGTATTTATCAATGGTATTATTGTCAGTGCGTCAGTTTTTTTTTTGTTTGTTTGTTTTTTTGTTACTGTTATTCAGTTATTAACAAATTTAAATGTAAATACACAAGTCACATTTGAATTTTCTTATGATTAAACAATCAACATTGTTTGAGCTCCTTTTGTTTCATAATCACTAAACCAGAATTTTTCCACCTTGGGACTTGAAAGAAAATGAAATGGTTGAGGACATAGCGGGTAAATAATCTTAGTCAAGAGGGCTTTTGAATTATTGTTATTTATTTATTTTACAAAGCAGTCACTGCATTCTATGAGCCTCTATCAAGCAGCTACCTCTGGGGCTGAAAGACAAAGGCAATGCAGAAGTGCCAGAAACTGCAGTTCCTCAAATGGCCACTTGAGGCTAGCTCCAGAAGTCATAAATCTCTATGTTAAATTACCCAACATCACAGCAGAAATAAACTTGTTTACAGCCCGATATAAAAAAACAATTTTGGTTTCTCGATATGTTCCCTTTTCATGACTACTGTATGAGGAAGTACATTATTATACAACTCATCAGTTTAAATTCCCGTAAGCTTTAAAGTTCTGCACAAACAAAGGCAGGGCCACTTTGAGGGACTGGCTGGTCCATGGCTAGCCTCATCTTCATTTCCACTCCACCTCGTTGCTCATTTATGAATTAACTGAGAGTTAGGAAGCCCATGATCTGATCCATCTTTATATAGATTCAATGGCTTATACAAAATTTGTTGGGTAATAGATTTGGTTGGAAAAAAATGCAGGAAAACGGCTTGTTGCTTCCTCCCATACTTGTCCACATAAAGCTCAGTTTCAATTTTGTTCAGCAGAAACTGTAAAACAGAAGTTAAAAAAGAGTAACTCAACTTAAGGGGCCAATATAAAATAAGGGAAACCTGTACTAGTTATACATCTGTGAAAACAAAACCCTAATTACTGTCTTGAATACATAGTTTTAACTACAGTTGACTAAATCTTCAACAATTTGCATTTTAGATTTGCTTCTGGACAATGTTATTGGAAATGAATGGAAGAGTTTATGGGTCAGTCAAATACATCGCTGTCATCTAAAATGTTCAAATACTGGAACACCCACTTTTATGTGAACATGTACTCAGTCTGAAGAACAAAACATGGGTTTACAAAGACAACTGATAACCACTGCTGTGACGTCTTTTAGATAAGAGCGGGGTTTTAGATTTTGTTGAGTCGTCATAAATTCTTTGCTTGTGGTGACTCATTCCTGACATAGTTTCATGATTGTCAATTGGTTTATGTGAGCTCCTGACCAGAATTGGTTCTTCTGCAATCTCCACATCCTGGCTAGCTGGTTGACCTTCAGTCCAGTGTTCCAACCTTTGTCCCTTGTTCTGCTACATTTGGGACTGACTGGATTGCCTCCAAGTACATTGTGTACTCAAGTGCAAATCATAGAAATGTGCAAGAGCTTGTCAGTCGAGACAGGTATAATTTCATGAGTGTCTCTTGCCTCTTGCGTCTTTGAGTATTCCAGAGTCATTTAAACATGGTTTCTTATTGTCTTGGTGCTATCTTTGATTTGATTTAACTAAATCACTTGTTCCACTGCCTGGTCACTGGGTCAGGCCAAGGGAATTTCACTTTGAATTTTCACTTCTACACAGTAGTCAAGCTGGTTTGCATTCCTGAAGTATTAACCCACTTTAGACATCTTCCCCTTATATTGCTTTGCAACATCGAGTTAATGTCAGCTTTGGCTTTGTTGACAAAAATTTTTTGAAAAAGAGTCAAAGCTTTACGAGAGAGATGCAAGAAAAAGCCATTTTCGACTGTAGTTCACCGGAGGGTATGTGGGAGACTCTGAAATCAGCTGGAAGAAGGTTAGTTGGTCTGATGAGACCAAAATTGAGTGTTTGTCAGTCAGACTTGACACCAAACAGTGCACATCATCACAAAAACACACCCCCGGCAGGAAGCACGGTGGTGGCAGCATCATGATGTAGGGATGCTTTATAGCAGCACGACGAGAGGAAGTGAGTCAAACCTAATAAAACAATAAAGACTTTTTGTGTATAGAAAAGTTTGTAGTTTTGAGGTGTGCTACACAGAGTGAAGGTTTGAGCACAGTTGCTGGAGCAAAATTTGGATTCCAAACAACAAAAGAAGAGCAAAAACAGCAAGAACATGTTTCTCTATTTGTAACTCTTACAAAATAATGTTATGAAGGTACCCATATGAGTCCAATCCAATTTTATTTGTAAGGCACTTTAAAACTCCAAGACAGACCAAAGTGCTGGTCATGAGAGCTGCCTACGCAGTTCCCAAACCTACAATGCAACACTTCAGTTTCAGTTTGACCAGAACTGATTGTTTAATGCCTAACTCAGCCCTTTTACTGTCATGCACCTGATTTGGTTAAATGTCAGCACAGCTTTAGAAAGTGGAAGCTCTTAAACTTCAAGAGCCAGCATTTTCCACTTGACCTTAGTCTTTTTAAATAAGGCCCTTCATGTTTTTAAATCTTATTTTACTTTCAGCTGCTCTTGTTTTAGTTGATTTATCAGTTTTTCAATTTGAAATCTCTGTTTTATGTTATTATTTTACAAACATTGCCTTTTAATATTTTTTCCGTCCCTTCACATAGGCTGTGATTACTTATTTTATTCTTTTCAGCAGTTTTAGTTAATGCTATTTTTTTTAGATACTTACCGGTATGTTAAACTTGTGTTACAAATGTATCTGTCTTTGTTTCTTTCAGCAGGGATGCTTTCAGAATTGTTAAGGGTAAAAAAAAAAAAAAAAAAAGTGTCTTCTTTTAAAACCTCTTCTGCAAACCCTGTGCTGAAATTGAAAATGAAAATGTTTAGGGACATTGTTGTGCCGAGGCCCATAACATACATGTTCTTGCGTGCACAGCACTTTTCCACTGCACTCTAACTTTTGGAAACACGCTCCCAAAGAAATGGAGAAAAACAGCTGTTTTTAAATATTACCAACATTGCCTTTTAATATTTTTTTATGATTGGTTATTATCTACTTTTCCGGTTTCTCTGCTTTAAATCTTGAATAATTTTTTTGGTAGAAAACATAATCTTAACCAAGTTTTTTAACTGCTGTGTCTGTGTTTATATCAACTTGTTTTAACATCCTTCATATACGCTGTGATTCCTTATTCTGTTCTTTTTGGCAGTTTGATACATTTATGCTACTTTTAGATGCATGTCTTAAACGTGTGTTTGTCTTTATTCTTTCTTTAAACAGAAATGCTGTCAGTTTTTATTTATTTATTTGTTTATTTATTTTAATACTCCTGCTTTTTAAAAAATGTATTCGCTCATTTACATTTATTCTGCGTGAAGCAATTAGGTCCTGAAAGGGTGCTTAAACATGTCAATCAAGTGACTCAAGTTTCTTAATTTTAGTACCTTTAATTTCCAATGTTCTATTAAATGTAGATTTAGCTGCATATGGGACCAGTGGGGCTGCAAGGTGACTCGGTGGCTAGCACTGTTGCCTCGCAGCAAGAAGGTTGCCGGTTCGCGTCCTGGTGAGGACACCAGGATCTTTCTGTGTGGAGTTTGCATGTTCTCCCCGTGCAGCGTGGGTTCTGTCTGGGTTCTTCCTCCCACACAGTCCAAAAACATGTTGAGGTTAATTGGTGATTCTAAATTGTCCGTAGGTGTGAATGTGAGTGTGCTTGGTTGTCTGTCTCTAAGTGTAGCCCTGTGATAGACTGGTGACCTGTCCAGGGTGTCCCCTGCCTTCACCCTGAGTCAGCTGGGATAGACTCCAGCCCCCCACGACCCTAGTGAGGATTAAGCGGTGTATAGATAATGGATGGATGGCACCAGTGCAATGTAATGAATAAATTTGTCAATTACAGGGGATTGAGAAATGCACATTTTATTGCAGTAATATTTTTACAATAAGCCGACTGTGCATACGTGCTTTCAAGAAGTGAAGCTTTGGCATCTAATGAGTCAAGGTTGTCAGTTGATTGTAAAAATGTTACTGTAATACAACATGCATTTCCTCAATCCCCTGTGACTGATAAATCTCTTCATTGCATTGTACTGGTACCATGTTTACAATCAGCTGACTGTGTGAACACGCCTCTTCCTGTGCAAGCATACTTCTGTCAAGTGAAGGTTTGGCATCCAATGAGACACGACTGTCTGAGGCGCAGCGGCAGGCAGAAAGGAAGAGAACCCCGAACCACGCAGAAGGTAAGATTAAAAACAGTGTGTTTACATCCTGAACCCTATCTTTTTACTCGTACCAGAGATTTTGTGCTGTTGTACTTAGAGATGAAACCCATTATCCGGCTGCAGTTAACTTTATGCTGGTCTGTTGTTGAGGTGGGCAGAGCATCTACCCAACTGTTGCAAAGTGAAAGGAAAAGTGATGCCACAGTTTAACAGTAACTGCTCTGGAGTAGTTCTTATAATTTAAAATCAGAATGCCCTGCTTTAGCTTCACATCACCTCGTTACCGTAATTCTATTAATGCCTGTAGTCTGTTTTTACACTGGTTTGTGTAGCACTCGCTCAAGAGATTCAAGTTTCTTATTTTCCTTGTTTTTTTTTAATCTAAATTTATGGTACCAGTGCAATGTAATGAAGGGATTTATCAGTTACAGGGGATTGAGAAATGCGCATTTTTACAACCAGCTGACAGTTAACGCACCTCTTCCTGTGCATGCATGCTTTCGAAACATGAACAGCACCTAGTCAGTGTATTTCTATCCATGCCTGTAATCTGTTTTTTTTCCCTGTTTTACTCATTGTAAACGTTTCACAATTCCGGTGTCCCCATAAACCTTTTCACATTTCCTGCTTGCATGAATCATTACAAAGAAACCTGATGTAACTACTACTACTATTACTACTCGGTCAAGTTTCAAATGTGCTCCTCAGTTTGATATATTGGTGTTTATTATGTAGGAGAATGGTATCCTAATGGCTACAAACTGGGATACTTAGTGTGATGTTTTGTGGGATTTACTGAGAGATGGTGTCTCGTTAAATTATGGGAAATGTAGAGTCTGGTGTTTTTGGAGCTTGACCTGTTCTGGTCACTAAAGTTCAGGACATCTGAGCCTCTGCTGCTTCGATTATTTTTCTATTCTTATTGAGTGTTTCTCTCGTGACT